TCCCTGCCGAACACGAGAAGGTGGAGAAAGGGACCGGGAAGACCAAGAGCGATGGGCCTGAGGACGAGAAGGTCTGCCGCTTTTTTGGGGCTCGGATGATGGCTGTCGGAAAGGACAGGAGCGCAAGTTCAAACATGACTGGGCGATGCTTTGGATGCTCTGCCACCGGACACTCGAAGAAGGACTGCCCGGCATCGAGACCTAAGGTGATGTAAACACAAAAGCAAGCGGTGAAGGTCCTCAAGGAGAAGAACACCTGGGCGTCGAAAACCCAGCCTCCAGCGAAACCGTCTCTACCCTAGTTTCTTCTCTTTTTGAGAGTTCGCCGAACGTTTCACCTCGGGCCCGCCACCCCCGAGAGGCGCGTGCCAAAAACAGACGCAGCGGATCCGCTTGAGTGGGTCAACTTTGGTTCGCGCGTTCTGTCATGTCTGCACTGAGAATGCAAACGCTATGCGCCTTTTTGACCGGTTCTTTCTGTCGACTGGGTTCTTTGCTTGCCCTCGTTTTGGTTTTGGCGTCTGATTGGAGGCTTTTGCTTGTAAGCTTTCCTGGTTTCTTCTTGTAGGTTCTAACTAGTACATCCTTCCTTTTGTCGTCGCTTCTGTTCCTTTTCAACCCTTTTACGTTCTTCTCTTTCCTCTGTTATTTTTCTGTCTTTTGCATCTCCCCTGCGTTGTTTTTGCAGGTTGTTCTTTTTTGTCGGCTTCAATTTCCTTACGTGCAAAAAGAACAGAAAGGAAAGAAGCAAGAAACTTTTCGAATATTGAAACAGCATCCAATTTAAAATTTCTCACTTGTGTTTACATTAACTATTCTGTCAATATTTTGTTTATGCTTAATCGAATTTGAGTAAAACATATACCTTCCTACTTTATATATCTTAGTTTATAAACATACCGTATATTTATATATATATCCAATTTTTATACTTGGATATATTCGACAAACGCGAATAATACCACAGCAAAGGCACGGCCAGTTTTTCTCGTTGATGGCGGCGATCTGCTGCGGCCATGAATGTTCAAAGGAATAGGAGGGCATCTCTCCAAAAAAAGGGCGCAAGAAGGCTGGTCGAGGCACGTATTTGAGCTCTAGAGAACGCTGCGGCGGCCATGCAAATCTCAAGAAATTCGACCCGAATTACGAAACGATGAAAAGTACGATTCCCATGAGGACGGCGCATGTTGGCACATGAGTTATGTCGTTGTGACTGCCCAAACGGCAACCAAAAAAAAGTTCAAATGTGATTGGTTCAGTTTAGCATCATGGATACACAAAAATTTACCGTTACGAACTCATCGAGTCTGACCGCTTTTTACCCCTCGTGCCCGAGTGCGAACGCCGTGCCGAAGGCCCAGTTCCAACGCTTCGTCGAAGGGCCTGTCTGCCGACGACGTGCCGACTCCGGCTAAGACCAAGGGTCTACTGGCCCAAAAAAAATGGCCGCAAGCTGAGGCGAGACTTCTGCGGTGCTGTCGACTCGCCCCTCGCAAATCCCGTGTGCAAAAACGGGCAACTTGCCCGTCAGCAAAAATGCTTTCGTGCGCGAAAGCGTTGGGGTATACCGGCGGGATCGCAATGCCGGGAGGCACATCGGTGCCGTATTCCCGGGTGAGACAATTTAAATACGCGTAGCACTCACAACCACAATCACAAACACACAACCACAAACACACCCGCAAACACAAAACCTCAAACACATAACCACAAACACAACCACAAACACATAACCACAAACACACAACCACAAACACTCACAACCACAAACACAACAACAAACACACAACTCCAAACACAACCAGAAACACACAGTCACAAACGCACAGTCACAAACACAAGCGCAACCACAACCACAACACACAATCACAAACACACAACCACAAACACAATCACAAGCAAGTAACAACACACACACACACAAACACAAACACACTACAATAAACACAATCACAAACACGCAACCACAAGCACACAACCACAAACACACAACCACGAGCACACAACCAGAAACACACAACCACAAACACACAACCCCAAACACACAACCGCAAACACACAACCGCAAACACACAACCACAAACACACAACCACAAACACACAACCACAAACACAGAACCGCAAACACACAACAACAAACACACAGCCACAAACACACAGCCACAAACACACAACAACAAACACACAACAACAACCACACAACCACAAAGCCACAAACACACAATCACAAACACAACCACAAACACGCAATCACAAACACAATCACAAGCACAACCACAAACACGCAGCCACAAACACACAACCACAGCCACAATCACAAACACGCAACCACAAACACAATCACAATCACAAACACACAACCACAAGCACAACCACAAACACAATCACAAACGCAGCCACAAGCACACAACACAAACACAATCACAAACACAGCCATAAACACACTACCACAAACACACAGTCACAACCACACAATCACACACACACAACCACAAACACAACCACAAACACCCAACTACAAGCACCATCACAAACACACAGCCACAAACACAACCACAGCCACAATCACAAACACGCAGTGACAAGCACACAACCACAACACACAACCACAACGCGCAACCGGAGGATCTGAGTTGTATTATTAGTTGGGCACAGGTCTCCTGATGAAAGCATTCGCTTCGGACAAAATATAAGACTTGGCGCTGAAGGACTTGTGCTATGGGCAGAAATACACAACGAGGGTGTTGTCAACGTGGCTGTTTTGAAGTGTCATGGTGGGGATCACTCGAAGTAAAGTAATTTTTGAATACAACGAAATAGTTTCTGAATACCACGAAAATAGTTTCCGAATACAACAAAATAGTTTCTGAAGACTAGCTTCTGAATACAGCGCAGTTTCTGAATACGACTTTATTCTAGTAGCGATGCCTTTGTTACTACGGTAGTAGCTATATTATAGTAGCTTCTAACTTCTAACGGCTTTCATCTCTCAAGTCTAGACTGAGTCTAACCTCCAAGCCTCGGCTCCAGAGCGATTGCCGACATTGTCGACGCGAACTTGAAGGGAGACCTGACAGGCATCCAATGTTTTCCTCTGCAGTGGCTGCAAACAGTGCTGAAGATCCTCGCATCTTTGACTTTCAATACTTCTGACCCGGCGCAATTTCATGGAACACCTAGCAGCCATCATTTAGAGGATCCGTGCCACCTTCGTTGGGGGCCCAAAAAACCCAGCATCCTGCTAGTCACAAATCACAACAGACCCCTTAGTGTAACAGAAAGACATCTGCCATTGTCATGTTGACTCGTTGACTCTCAGCTCCCAGCCAAGGTGTCTGCTGTGGGGCCAAGACGGCCAGGTGACCCCGGCGGTAGAGTCCATGACTGCAACCTCGCAGCCCATGCTGACAGGCTTGGATGCACAGCACCCTGTGTGGCAGCATGTTGCACTGCATGGACACATCAGACGTCGACTGAGACCGACTGAGTCAGTTTCCTCTTACAAAAAAAGCAACATTCAGCTAAGCAACGAATGTGAGACCCATGATTCATGATCCACAAGCACCTCCTCCAATCCTCGGATAGACAGTCTGGATCAGTCTGATAAGCGGCCTTTCCCGGCAGCACATGTATCATCATGCAACCACTGCCTTGTCCAGTCGCGTTCGGTCCTTCAGATTGAGATTCCCCCCTAAGTTCACCCCTAGGCAGAATTCATATTTGTGACCCTCCTGATTCCCAAACATCTAGGGCAAGCTCGAATCCGAAATGTGGTGAAGGACAGCCCGTGACCGAAGGGGAAAGCAACCTTGGCCACAAGTTGCAATGACATCAACTACTGGACAAAACCGAGAAGGCTGCAATGTGTATATATACATATAATATAGTTATGTATTTATTAGCTATATAATATAGTTATAAGAATATATATATATATGTGCTCTCAAAGACACAATGTCTATTATTATGTGGGGAGCCTCGCTCGTTCAGACTGCTTTAGTAGCAAATCGTCATCGTTGTCATCCCAAAAGTATCTTGTTTATGCGGAGGCCCCATCTCATTCACCAGCGAATACTGATGTTGGACAAACAAATAGAGCATGCCGTAGACTACTTTAGTCAAGATCAAACAAAAGTAGCAAAAGTGGTTGCTCGTATAAAGAGTTTTCCAAATTCGATTTGCATCAAGTTGCCAAATGTTGAAACAATAATAGAAAGAATCCAAAAGAAAACAAATTCATTTTGATTGTTTTCGGCTCTGTCGAATTCATTACGTGGCTCTGGGAACGTTCCACCCCGACTTCCTCCGAATTGCGCCTTTCTGCTGTGATTGCGGTAAGACGTGAGCATCCCCTCAGAGTAGATGGCCCATGGTCCCTGGCAAACGTCATCCGCAGAATGCTCAGCAGTCGACATATCCCTGCAGAGACTGTTGGATCATGCACAAAACAGAGTGGTTGCTTTTGAACAACCTTGGCCCAATTTCACTATGGGAGACCCATAATGATACACTGATACAATCTCTCCTTGAACTGGCCACACTTGAAGCAGGTATGTGCCATGAGGAAATATGCTAATGTGACTGCCAAACCTTGGTCTGATTCTTTGATATCTTGGAGACAAAGCAAAACCTGCGCGACGAGTTCTTGCTATTATTTATATATGCATGTATATGGATGGCTCACAAAAAGTCGTGTGTGTAGCTCAGCCAAATGCAGCCAACCTGTCAATCATGTTAGTCGTCTTGCTTTCATTGCCACACGATTGGTACAGGAACGAGTGAGACAAACCTCCTCCCATGTCCCGCCCCTCCTGCGCTGGAGGGATGGTGTCTGCCTTTTCACATCGAAGGTACGAGTTGTCGGAAAGCCTGGCAACTCTATTGATACCTTGTAGACGCACGATCTGTCCATGTGAATGCTTGAAATTCAGCCATTCTTGGTGTGCTAGGATGCACTTCAGCTTGCCACATAGATGCTGGGACTTGAAAGCATGAAAAACCTACCGAGCCCCCACAACTGCCTCACTGGCAGGAATTGTGATGGGCAGCCTTGCGGCCTTAGGCGCACGAGACAAAGTCAAGCACCAAGGTTTCTTCCAAACGGTATGTTGTGTGTCAAACAAACAAGTCGAAACTTTGACAACCCTTGTTGGTGTTGCCGAAGCGTTGCAGTAAACTGCTGCCTTTCGACTTTCGAGCCAAAATTTTATTCCTCTGTCTCACATTCCCGCTATCCCGTTCTATCCCACCATCATGGCTACTTGAGAAACTGTGAGAAACCATTGGCTCCGGTATGCTCCGCTTGCCACACTGAACCTTCTGGGCAACAGAGCTGGGTTCACATCCCCGAAGAGCACGGAGGCGAATGCGAACCCAGAAGCCTGAAACCATCTGAAAGAATTGATCTGATTCAACCTTATGGAATCGATTGCTAAAATCAAAACATATCAAACCTTCGCAGCACTGAAAGAGCCTGCGGCATGTTTGTTTTCTCTGGTCATGACTTGTCTATTTCTGTCGAGCTGCCTACCGGCAAAAGACCTGAATGTTATTGTTTCCGTGATGTCGGTACTAGAAATCACTTGCTGCAGCAATTGATTCGAATGCATTTGTGTATATATATATATTCTCGGTGACTTTCCAGACTAAGTTGAGAAAGTGGAAGCAGCAGGCGGGTGTGATATCCAACAATTTGAGAATTCGAGGCCTGAGATTGCCTAAAAAGCCCGCCTGTGTTTCCACATACACAACGTGACATGTTATCGTTATATGTTGTTCCTTACAGTTTTTCAGTGCTTTGACTAAGTGCAACATTTGCAGTATACATGTGTGTACCCCCTTGGAATCAGCAGCAAAGGAAGTCTGCAGGCGATTTGATGCTATATATGTTTTAGCAGGGGCACACGGAATTCATGACCTACCGTGCGCAACAAAGCTACGGTCGTGGATGGGAATTCTCATCACCTTCACCTTCCTGTACCTGCTTTTATGAGTGTTGTATCTACCTTCCACTCATGAAGGTCTTCAGGCTGTTGCAGGATTATTCAGGTCATCAGACTTGCACTTTGATCCGCTCGCTTTCGTCGATTATATAAAGGAAATATCATGTCCTTGTGAACTTAGAGATGGCTGGACCACTTTGCATATTACATCATATTACCTTTTTTGCGTGTTATTTTACTCGTGTTTTTCCCTTGGGCTTCTTCTAGGCATTTGGCGGCCTCCGTACGAATTCTTATCCCGGGTGCGTGCACTGCATGCATTTGCGCTGTGCGGAACTGGCACGCATGATGCCATTGGGTGGTTCTTTCCAAACTACCACAACTAGTACATGTGTGGGCCATTGGCGTACGAGTGTACGGGAAGGTATGCTAGGATGTTTTAGATTTTTTAGGCTCGCTGCCTTATTTGTTTTTTACCGATTATCGATCTCTATGAGCAAAAATAGCGCAACACTAAGTTGTTTTTGTGGGGGAGACAAATCTGAGATGAAACACACATATACACATACATATAATACAGTATACATATTAGCTTCTTGTTCTAGTTATGCATAATAAGGGTTGTACCCGCAGGTTTATCGCTTGTGCTTTGTCTTTATCATTTTATGGCAAACGAAGCATCCTTCTGGCAAAACGGACATGCAAACATTACTTTCCTGCATGGGTCTTTTAAATGAGTTCTCATACTTTCTCACGATCTGGATTCAAAACCAACGGTACTGGAAGTTTAGGATTCTCCATGTCTGACGCATCAAGCAGCCAAGGCGTTGGAAGCTTCGCACCTCGCCACCGTAGAAAAGCACCAAAATACTCGAGACCTGGCAGAATTGAGAATCTAGCGACTCAAATGACTCGCAAGATTGAGATCCGAAATCAGTAGACATCTCTTCTCAACGAAATCCAAGTACCTGCTTATCCTGTCTATTGATCTCCTTTAAAGGAAGGCTTTGCAGGGACCTTCCTTTAAGTCTAGGAGTCTAGGATCAGGACCAGGTCTACGGCCCGGGAAATCCTTCACCACACCTGAAAGCGCCACGGCAGCAGCACAGCGCCTGGAGCCATCAGTAGCACCTCGTCTCTGAAGTCGATGCATCTGCTACTAGTAGCTTCTTGTTTCTAATAGCTTCTTGCTACTACTAGTAAGGCACTTGTTACTAGTAGC